GCTTTTGTTGGATAGAGCCGAAAAGGTCTGCAAAAGTGCTTCAAAGCCTGCGACATCTTCCGCACATCTTTGATTATGTCCAAAGAGGGAGACTCAATCATTTGCAGGTAAAACCACGTACATCGAGTGGGCTAATCAGTCCCACGGCCTGGTTCATCCGCAGCCCAGGGGAAGTGGTGGAACTGACCGTGCCGGGAGTGGAACTGACCGGGCAAACTGCAATCCGAACTTGATCCTGACATATTTGCACGCAGACTTCCTTTTTGGCCGCAACATGATGTCGTGCATTTGCGTTAATGTCAGTGGGAAGGATGAAATACTAATAGCGATGGCCTCCAACCTAAGAGTAAAAGGCAAACAAGTCTGCCATGTTGATCAGCTACTCTGCACTTTTTTCATTCACGCCTGCAACTGCCCGCCCGTAAGACATCCAAACTCATCTAGAAAGCCCAAGTCCAAAAGAGATCCCAACTGAGGTAGACAAATCCATAAACATGATGGTACTTTTATGGATGATATTCTCGGGTACTTAAAAAATTAGATGCTGCGTCATCATTTTCTTGTTATAATACAGTAGTAATCAGTAGTAGGTATAGATTAAATATTGATTAGGAACCATTTGCTGCCACCTGAATCCATTTCCCTCTGAGCGTGGTCAAAAGACAGGAGGCCCAAGAACTTTCTGGCCGGACCAAATCCCAGTATCCAATCTGGGACCCAGTCCACAGCTGCAAATACCAGGGTCGACTCTGACATCTATATAGTCAAGTGTTGCAGCTTTTTGTGATGAAAACTCCATCCTTTCAGGGATGATTTATGCACCAACCTACACTCGTGAGGATTGTAGAGTCCTATCTTCACTCATCGTGGGAGCAGCAACCAAGAAAATATGAATGTCTATAGCAGCCTGGGCCCCCCTTGCAACTGGGGGATATTTGTAATCTGGCTCTTGGCTCTAGCATCCAAACTCAGTGCAGCTGGGACAGCCACTGGACCTTCATCCTTCCCACGAGAACAAAAAGAGCCGGTTCGAGTCCCACCTTCGTGGGGGACCAGTGTCTGGACTGATGGAGATAAAGCCAGTCCCGCATGGACATGAGTTCGGTGCATCTGTACCACCGTGGAGCGGAAAAGGTGGAGAAAAAACTTCCTTCTGTCCTTCTGTGATACCACTTCGAAGTCTGGAAGTTTGTAGCTCAATCTTCAGAAGCTTGAGCTGACATTGGATTGAATGTACGGGGGCCCCGTCAGTGTCTCCATGTCCACCCCGCCAAAGATATCCAAAGTATCGGAAGCAATCTCCCTGGTAAAGGAGGTGTCTTTCCTGGTCATACCACCTGGATCTTTGGGATAGTTGAAAGGACCGAGGACCGTTCACAACATATGCATAATGACACATGTGATAAATTTGTTCAAGCCAAGCATGCTGAGACTCCGGGTAACGCTTATATGTCCGAACTTCCGGGCACCGACCGAAGGGCTGGTCGTCCCATTGTCGGGTTGGTCGAAAAGTAGATTTCCCGTCAGGGCTTCTAATGGAGAGCAAAGACCAATAAAAGTCTTAATTCATGAATCGTAGCTCCTTGATCTATATATCTCACGCCCATAACTTATAACTCCATGTATTTGGGAAATGGATGCAATTGGATGATCTTTCTGTGGTTATTGAACATGTGATTCTATTTGAACATGTATATGTATATATATAGAGAGATCGATACTCAAACCGATGGATGCTGACTGAGACTGTACCTAGATCATCAACAATGTGCGATTCAAGGGAACAAGAACGAACATGTTAAGCTGGCACAAACAATAGGATACACCTCTTGTTCATCGCGATGTGGGAAGGTCAAACATGAAACAATGTTGCAGTATATGTGTTTGTGTGTGTGTCCAGGATTGGAGAGCCATGCGGCCTGACTCAACGAATCTCACGAATATGACTCAACGGTGTGATCATTCTCGAGTGTTGCACCGAAAACAAATATGATTAATTTTAATTCTAATTAAACTTATATAATTCTAATAGCTTCTTGTTACTGCTAGTAAGGCACTTGTTACTAGTAGCGATGCACTTGTTCCTAGTAGCTTATTAATATCTCGAGTGTTGCACCGAAATTTCACGGACAAAGAGTCCACAGCAGTCCGTCCGCCCGAAGCTGTACGAACACACTCGACCATCCGATCTTACCCCCTTGGTTTGCCTGGAAAATAACGGAATTGAGCCTTTTTCTGTCATGGGGGGTTCACCCATCCCCCAAAAAGGTTCAAGGATGATGTTAAAGGTTATCCATTCATTAATTGGGTAATCTGTGGCAGGTCTCCATCAGCTGTTAGAGCTCGACCAAGTGGAGGTCGAGTTTCTGTTTGAGGCTGCTGCACCTGGCGCTGATCGGGTGGCATCCGCGTGTCGGGTAGCAACTCGGCATTCGCTCGAGAAAGAGAGACCGGAAGGCTTCAAAGAAGGCCACGGTGCTGAGGGAGGTGTTGTTGCAGTGCACTACCATCAAATCACTGTGACCTTCCAAACCCACCCCCAAATCCGAGTGTGACCACGGGAACGAAGGCCAAAGCGCCTTGCAGTCCCTGCTGTCTGATGCTGTCTGTGTGGTTTCCTCATGTCTATCATATTGTTATATCATAACTTATATTATATTATTGTATATGCAGTATATATATATGTATAGACTATCTTTCGTCTCCTTTCCACATCTTGCAAAAATTGCAACAGTGCTACACCCATCAGAGCATTGCTCGAGCAATGGACTGGCTCTGCATATTTAGAAAGTTGTACCTCCGCTCAGTCAAATGTTTTGGAATAAACTTCCTCTGAACCTTTTGCCTTTTGTGAATGTCCAAATTTGCATGGATACACATCCCCCCCAAAGGGGTGCAAATGCCTCGAATTCCTTCTGAATCTGAATCTACAGCAAGGTCTGTTCAGGGCAAGGTCTTTTGCAGGACATGATATGAACCTATGTCCTACAAAAGCTGCCCCTGCCGCTGCCGGAAATAAGGAGATTCAGGAAAGGCTCGTGTTGAGTGTAGTTTCGGTGCAAATGCCAGAAATACAGTAGATCTAATATTATACCGGGGAAGCCTTTTGGAAATTAATTGCGCAATTGCTTCTATCCACAATCTCCGAACACGATATACTTACTAAATATCTTACTATCTGCTTTAGAATCTAGAACTCAAGAACTGCCTATAGAAAGATCTAGGACTCGAGTAGTTGATTCTATAGGTAGTAGAGTAGATCATTTAGGATCCAACCGTGGCACTTGGAGTCCAGTCGGACGGGTCGCTCAGAAGAGGTTCTCGTGGTCTCAAGACGATCCAGCGACATCTCCGCGTGAGAGATCTGATCGTTACGAGTAGCGATGCAGAACTTGTCCCTTTAGCCTCAACCATTCATTCAATAAGTCGTCGGAATGGTCCCTAAACACCAAGGTCATCTAGGTCCGGTCCTGGAACATTTGGCGTCGCTGGGCCAGTAGCCTCCCAAATGGGCCACCCCAATGGCGAAACCGCCCAAGTCTTGGCCTAGTCCCATCTGCAGATCTTCCAACAGCATCGAAGCTCCAGGTAACGCCGCCACGATGCACCTCGGAACGAGACGCGGGACGCTCGGTTCGACCAAACGACCAAAAAAACCGCCGGTTCGACCAGTCGGGAAGGGAAAACCCGACTCGTTGGAAAAGTACCTCGGTTGGATTGGAATTATGCAGAGAAACCAATAGAGTGCCTCAGGTCCATTCAGGTCCCCCAGAGTTGAAGCCTGGCCTTCCCATCGCTGCATCACTTCGATTCGCCATCATTGGCGGAAGATTTCAGATTTCACGTGTGTTGGGGCCAAGTGTGTTGGGGCCAAAGATCCGGTGGATCTGACATGTGTTCGATCTTGATCTGGTGTCTAGCGTCTTCCGTTCTCTTTCCCCTTGTTCTGCTCATTTCACCACATGTTCACCCATCCGTTGACCATTCCAAACGCGCCCAAAAACGCACGCGCCTGCGTGGCGCCCGGTCCCGGAAGCGGGCCGACCGGACGGCCTGGGCGAGAACACCCCGCACGCAGCAGGAACGGCGCGACGTCGTGCCGGTTTGGTGCGAAAAGGAACCTACTAGGAGGGTTGTCTGGTAGCTTGGCAGCTACCACCCTACCCAGAGGTCCTAGACAACAAGGTGGTTCCGTGCGTTCGCTTGGTGCCGATCCGTTCGCGTCCGTTGGAATCCCTGAGTTGCCGGTGTGAGTTGCCGGTTGGTTCAGTCGAGAACTCGGTGGAAGGTTCCGGCCGGTTCGTTTGTTGTGAGATTTTCGGCCACCTCTTCCCAATATCTACACTCCCTATAGCTAAACATGGAAGTGGATTGCATGGCCCCGTAAGGAAGACCATGAAATCCACGACCAATAGGTGGTGCCATCATGTGCCATCCATTTCTAAGAACTTCTATGTTAGTTCCAGGGAGAATAATTAATCCCCTATTCTTTCTCAGCCTCAAGATGCCCTGTCTTTGGGGAATAAGGACGATCTGATCGTAGGATTGGGAGCCGGTGAACCAGGTTCTCCGTCTGCAGTATCAGAGGGAGGGTTCTGTCAACAAGGGATGGGACATATGATATAACAAGTTAGAAGCAACACCAAACTCTGAAATTCAGAACAAATCCAAACTTGAACATAATGGATGGAAATGGTCGGAAGGACACAAACAAAACCTTCGTTGAGGTTTTGTCAGCCTACCGGTCAAAATGTTTGCTCCATACCGTGAGACTACTGACCTCCATCCCAAATCACTTTTGTCCTCCATCCCTGGCGCAACTGATGTAAAACATGGAGCACTCTCCACAACCTGAACAAAAGGTCCGCTGACTATGCCAACTGTGCCGATTGCAACCTTGAAACTCATCCCTTTCTGAACTCGCGCGTTTTGCCCAGAGGAACCGGTATCATCTTTCAAAGTCTATCATGGGTCTCTTGTCTGGATTTTGATTACTGTGGTGTTGAATTTGAAATGCAAGCGCATTGAAGGATTCCATGAGTCTTAGCCCATACTTCTTTGCATAGGCCTTCATGGGTCTAATAAGTTCATACTGTGTACAAGTGAGTTGTGATTCGGTGAGAAGGCCTTCCTTCCACAAAATTTGCTGCACAAACATTATGGCATTGTCATCCATGTGGACAACTTGCCATTGGCCTGAGAATGCGTGAGAGAGAAATGCGGCTCGCAACTTCTCTCTTACATCCTGACTGCGGTCTGCTGGATGAGGCAGCAGGTCCATCTTCCTCAAGGTATGCTTGTTGCCCATGGCATTGGTGAAACAGAACAACGCCTCGTGTTCATCAGCATTCAAGTCGTCAAAATATCCAAGCTTCCTGAGGACATGCATGGTCAAATCTTTGGAATCTGTCAACATGAAAGGTCCACCACCCTTGAAAATGGATTTTGCCCTACTGCTTCCGTAAGTTTTGAGAGTTGTCTTGCTGCTGCTGCTCCCCCGCCGTGGAAATATGGGCAGGACAAAGGCCAACTCTCTGCTGTATGGTACCCAAGAGTGTTTTTTTCTTTGAGGAGCAGACGATGACGTCATGCACAGCAAGTATTGCTAGCGGACCCGGAAACACGGTGAGTGCACCCAGGCTGTTGGTAAACCAAAACTTGGCACAGGTTGCTACCCCAAGTCTGTCAGGAAGCCACTCAACATCTCCACCTCCCGCTCGTAATATCCATCCTCAGGCCAAAAGGGATCTTCAAGTTGCGCTGAGCCAGTTCCATCACCATGAAGGATAGCACGCACTCGGGGTCCAGGATCTTTGCTGAGGATTTTCACAACCTCTAATCCGTCCTTTCTATACTTGCGAATAACGCCAGGTTTTTGCGCTGGAATGAACATCACAACGTTGACAGAGTTGATGTCCTTGAGTTTGAGAATGGTGCTGACAAAATCGCCATCTGAGGTCAGCAATGCAATCCTATCTACTCCACTGCTTGAAAAAAAAGGCGTTGCATTGCTGAGACAATTGCTTCATCGTTGGGCTCTTTGGAAGGATTCTCTGAACGCAACACTGGTCGGAATGTGATATCAGGCTCCTGGAGAAGTTGGCTCCACTTCTTGTTTGTCACTCGGGCAGGTGGACCGAAAAGCCTTGTCTCAACTGCGCCACCCTCATCTCTTAAACGACTCAGCACGTGTTTGATATCTTCAATGCAGTGTGTATCTGCGTCGACCAAAAGCACGGTCCTTTCTGAGCTCCTAGCCCTGCACAAGAAAGGCACATCAAACTTGCGGAACTTGGAGTCAATGTAAAGTCTTCTGCTTTTGCCACACATCTTGCCACTGCTTTTCAGCATAGCAAGCATGGCTCCTGCACGGGCACTGCTCAATCAGCATCGCCTCCGGTCTCCCAACGCGAAGCCTGTCTGAGCGGTCGTTGCTTTAAGTATGCGGTCGAGTCATTGCCTAAGGAGCGGTCAACGAGTTCTGGCACCTATATAGTTCTGGCAAACCTAGCAATTGCAACCATTCAATAGAATGATTCACTTGCAAGAATTCAATTCGTGTCGAGTTATTTCCTTTTATCTGCTTTCCTGAACTACCTGTGGCAGGTCAAATGCTGCTATGTCTTAAATGTTCAGTCCGACTAGTCACTAGTCCACATCTTCAATGGTCAGCTTTCATGGTAAGACCAAACAATGGATCCTTAAACTTGTCTCTGCCATCCTCAGCGAGAAACAGGAGAGGAGTACTGGGTCTTCGTGGCTTGAAGTCCAAAAAAACACGGCATCTTTCAAGCACATTATCTGGAGTGCTTGAAGGGCTCTCCAATTCTTCAGGGCTCTCCTCTCAACAAAGTCATGTCCATCCAACTCACCGGCTGCCAACCTCTTCATCTGATGTTTTGAGGACAGCCCTCTCGATCTCCTTCAAGTGTTGCCTGCGCAAGCTGCACGCGCGATGGATCGGGCCTAAGTGCGGCTGTCTGATTCAAACGCCTTCAGCACCTGCGAAACATGCTGCCAGTGCTAGACCTGCACCTCCCCCCCAAAGGAAAGTCTAACAAAAGGGACCAATAGAAACCATAACGAGGTCACCAAAAGCAGCCAGCAGCATTATGGTTGAAACAAGTACTTGGAGGCAAAGCGAGGACACATCCTGGCTTGAGTAAAAAATAAAGGATAAACAAGCGCTCCGGCTGCTTTGAAACATCTCGCACCGCTGGGTGTTCGGAGTCTTAGCTGACCCATCTGAGTGTCCTTCTGCCAATTCCACCCTCCCGATATACACGCCTTCTCTGCCCGGGGGACACAAAGCTCAGCTGGTCATTGTCATGGGCCCGCTTTTTCTTGATGCGAAAGCGCCGGAGTTCCGAACTCCTGGCGCTTCGAACGGTTCCGTCACCGGGTTCGAGAAAGAGCGGGACGGAGCCAAGAGAAAAGGAGCTCATACAACAGCTGTCTGCAGGCTGCATGCTGCAAAGTAAACAATGGTAGCATGGCATCGTCTTCACAACGGTCACCGAGCCCATTCCGAATGTCGTAGCCTTTATTTTTAGCCCACTCTGATCTCCAGACCCATCCATCCCATTCACCAATCTCCTTTCTTCCTCCAAAGGAAGATCTGTGATGTCCAGCGGCAGTCTCAAACCTGGTACAGTACTAGGGCTCCGTTGGCCCGAGGCCCAAATGGATCTGGCAAGTATGTGTTACAAGCTATCCACCTGGACCACCATATCCTGACACTTCCGGCTGCAAGCAATAGTGCAACACCCCTGTGAACACTAGACTAGGTCTTCGTCCATTTTCGTGCTAAACAGAGCCATCATGCGTTTCTTTTCTCCCTGACCTATGGAACCATAATGCACCATGATGCCATCTAGTTCCAATGTGTTTTGGCATCGCCTCCGCCCTTGTGCGTCCCGAAGCACCCGGCGAAAAAAGGTGACTCGTCCGATCCGACAGACCCGCCGCGACCGGAGACGTCGACGACAGAGGCCGCGGCACCGGAGAAAGAAGACGTCTCCCTGGTGACTTCACCCATTGACGGTGACAAGAAAGATCTTGAAACATGATGGATGGGAATGATCAACATCTATTTTTGTCGGGCAGAAAAAGATGTTCTAAGTACCTGAAAGAGGCCAAGGTGTTGGGCATCTTTTTGGGAAGGGTCCAAATAACATGCCCTAGGCACTTGGAGCCCTAGGGCAATCTAGGGCATATGAATTCGGAATTCCAAGGAATTCACCATGATTCACCCTATCATGAGGGAAATGTCCACCTCCCCGCAGTCAACCGTCGCCAATTGCTCAACGGTCGCCGTCCGACGAACCGAGACCGCCCGAACACGGCCACACCGGTGGGCTGCCGGCCGGACTGGTGCATCGCAGTTCAGTTTTTAATTGGGGGTGCATTGTGCATGATGATCTCTACCCACATATATACATGAACAATTTGTTTCGTGTCCAGTTTGCACTTGCCTAGATTCTTGAATACGCGATGCCGCGATGCCTAGATGTGAAATGATAAGAAACACCCAAATCATCCCAAATTCATCGCTCGGATTCATCGCTGGCCACTGGCCCAAGGCACGCTCTTTGAACAAGTCGGCCATGTCCAAGTCGTGGGTAAGAAACCTGCCAACACGCGAGACAAATCACTAAGGAGTCAAGGAAATCAAAGAAAAACAACACTAATATCTTATATGTAATTATGTTGTAGCTGATGAATTCCTGTACCAAAGTCATCTGAAACGACAGTTGCCTTGCGAAATAGGTCGATGTTTCAGACCTGTCTGTCTCCCAACTGACCGTTATCGTCGATGTTTCAGGAAGTCCATCGCCCGAGTCACTTGGATTGGAAGGCCATGCTGCGGGTCTTGGCGGACAAGTCCGCTTGGCGGACGTCCCGTGCCAGCCTCAGGCGCACACGCAGTATGAGATGCAACTGAATGTAGATCAATTACAAGTTCCAACTGATACATACATATATATACACATGCTTGTTGCGATATGCACACAAGCAATTGGCCTTAAAAGCATGCAACAGTGATTTTCTACAGCAAATAGTCTAAGATCTGAATGTATATACATATATATATTGTACACATGGTTTGATATAAACATAATAATATATATGTAGCTGTCCACGTGGATTTACGTCTCTTGACAAACGTTCGCCCTGGGATCGCCCGACTTGCTCAAGGCTTCGGCGGTCTCGGGCTCATCGGTATCCTCAGTGGTGGCGTTGGCGTTGGCGTTCATGCTGAGACCGTCTGACTGGGAAATATCGACACAGAAACATCAAAGATCCTTCAGCCTATTGAAATGAATGAAATCACCAATTTGAACTGAGAAAGACACGTTCAGGATTCAGGATTGTCAAGATACTCTTCAAGAAATACATGGCTTCAACCAGGAACTTCCTGACAAACTACATAGACGTCCACAAGAGTCACAAGAGAAAAACAAGTGCGGCTTCCCTCAAACATAAGCTGACTTCTGTCCACCTCTGCAGATCTCATTTAAACATAACAAGAAATACCACAATATTTATTTACAGTACAGTAAAGATGTCTAGTGAGCACCATGTTCGTTCTCTGATGCTTTCATGTGAGCATCAGTTTTGAACCACTCCCACAAAACGAGTCTATAGTTTATATAGCTGGGTCCACACTCGCCAGTCGCCTAACTTGCGGAGCTCCGAGGCGTGCGCTAGTCGATACTGGCGCTGACGGTCACCTACATCCACGGGGGGGGGCCAATGGGACCTTTGGAGAGATCGACCAGGACCCAGGACCTTTGTTTTTTCGGGTTGTGTGGCTACTTGTGTCAATCCTCGTTCCCTCGAAAAAGGATGGCACCAGGCACACTCCATTCACATTCACTCATTCATGGGCCCCTTCGTGGATAGGCATCGAAGGCATCGATCGAAGGGTCGTGGCGATGGACCCGTCCAAAACTGCTCCGTCGTGCGATTTTCGCCCACGCCGACCAAAGCTGTTGTTGGTACAAGAGTGTCAATGTTGTTTGTTGTTTCTCTCAGCACGAGGGGTTTTCTTGAGCCCACCTGAGTCATATGAGCTTTTGGAGTTCAACATTGTTCTACTATCAGAATCTCACTTGATTCAATCACAAGCAACACAAGCTAGGCGCACCCAGGCTCCCAGGCCATTGAAGGAAACCACTAACCCCCATGCAATCCTTCTGTAGTATCAGCGGAACACCAAGCAAGCTTTCCTCCATCAGTCAATAGCATCCTCACAGCAAACTAGACTCTCCGCATAATTGAATACACTATCTATGATATACAATACGCATCCTTCTTCTTATTCTGCACCACGAGGATCATTCCAACAGGAGAACACCGAACATTACGAGTTTCGTTCAGTTGTTCTGCGCTTGTTAATCCGATCCACTTTGAACCATGGAAATGCATGGCATGGCCTTTGGAATGACTATACTAACTTATTGTAAATACAATAATCCAAGCTCTTTCTCTACAAATCGGTGTTCCAACGTTTCTCGTGTTAGTCACTCTGCCTGTTGCACATGTTCCCGACACCTACCGCTGCATCCCCCTCATTTCTCCTTCTCCCCTCTCCCGATGCGGCCTTCGCCGATCACACCCCGCGCTCCGCGATAGACTGCACCTGGGTCTCAATTCCCAAAACATCCAACATTTGGAGACACTTCCAAACCCTCGAACCCGGTGGATGAAGTCTAGACCCGAAGAACCCGAAAACTGGAGCGCAGCCGTCTCCTTTGGCCGGATCTCGGATCGATCCTGCGTTGACTTCGATCGACAAGAAGAAGTGAAGTCTGAAGGCTTGTTTTGTTTGTCCGGTCATGTCTCAAAACCTCTACAGTACACAATACTGTACCAAATCAACTGGCGTTTCAGATGCATGATTGAAAGTGTTGTCTGAAACTAGTAACATTGCATAAATTATTATGTTACACACATATGTTTAAAGGTGCAACATATCCTTAATGACAACCAAATACAAACCATAGCCACAAAAACCCACCCATCGCACCCATCGCACCTGTCACTCTACACACCGGGAGGTACCCTGCCTGGACCCTCCTCCTCCTTGTCCTCTTCGGGCTCATCACCCAGCAGCAGCCGTCGAGTCCTGGCCAAGGCCTCAACGAACGGACGGAGGTGGAAGGCCGTCGAACGCGGTGGACGGGGGTGGAGGCCACTTTTCCATTGAGATTGGTGGTTTTTGACCCAAAAGTTGTGCATGACATGATAGCATGGCCGAAAAAGAATCCACGTGTACCTTGGGGAGAGAGTGTCAAATTGAGACCCACAACGAACAAGTTTTTTGGCGCATCAAATGGAGCGTCTGACCGGCAGCGATGTATATTCAATTATATTCAGGATGCCCTGCCTAGGAGGTCCCTCGCAAATATGTAAATACGGTGCACACATGTGCACACAAGTTGCTACCCTGCTATCCACACGAGTTGCTACCCTGCTACCCTCCTGTCCATACACAAAGAAAAGGTCCCACCAAGACCCCTGCTGCTCTCTCATCAGTCTTGTCCTTCTGACGGCCTCAGAACCGACGAAACGAGCTCGCCCCTCATGGTTTCACACATTTCCATCTTTCTGTGGTGATCACTGAATACAGTGACCGAGTGACCCCCCCCTGCAGATGTGGACACCTTTCGAAATATTTGGGGATCCTACGTATTCCAATATTTCTGTCCCAGCTCAATCTAATCCCAATATATCGCCATCCGGCGTTGTTGACCATGTTCTACAAAGGTATTCGAGGACGGGGAAATGAATGGGCCGATCAATGATCTTCACTTGATTTGAAGGAGAATGAATCAAACATGCGTGAATCCATGAGGATGTTTACCACACCCGCCAGAACAACATTCATCAACCAAGGATGTTCACAAACGGATACGTCGGAGACGGAGGCAAGCAAGCTTGCAAGGAAGCGGTGGTGAATATGCCGAACTTGGCCCTGAAAAAGGTCATCCATCCGGGAAAAAAAACTGGTAAACTACGCCAACTGAAAACCGACATAAACAAGGACCAAACACCAATCTTGGACTTAGCAAAATTCTCCAAACATCAAGTACAGGCTGAGCAAAGTTCGCCTTAGGTGCCTTAGGTGGTGGCTCCTACCCGGAGTACTGAAGGTGTAGAAGAACCGCACATACAATAACATGTTCCCCCATTTAGCCAAAAAGTGATTGGCCGACGGGTGGGGCAACAAAAAAATGGTTGTTTTTTCTTTCGAAGACAGAAAACACCTTTGCGCAAAGAGGAACACCGGCCGCTTCTTTTAGCACCGCCTCCGGTATCCGCTGTGAGCAATGTTTGAATCTCTTCCGGATACCTCGGACGCGACAGGCTCGACCGAAGCTGAGATTAAGAACTTGGGTGCCATGAATGTCTTCTCCAAACACACACTTCAAAGAGAACATGAACAGGTTTGCACAAACATCAAAGCAAGCTCAAAGTATCGAGGATTAAAATCATTCAAGTGCTTAGAAATAGTGTATTCTCATGTTCACCTTCCAAAGCAAACAACGCATATTTGCAAAAACATGTAGATCTAAATGCAAATCTCCACGTTTACAGTAGATATCAACATCTATCTGGGTGAATTATAGTATTTCGCGGGTCGTCGCTTATTTTCGTTAATTTGGAAATGGAATTAAGAGACGTCGTCGGAAATACGAAATTAAGTGATGTCGGGTCGGAACCAACAATGGACCACGTGGATACACGCGCACGCAAAAACACTGCATTGTCAGCAACGCCCTTTGACAAGGCTGGAGTTTCGTGGTTGGTTTTCATCGGGTCGCTTGGCAATTGAACTCCGTTAGGCTAGGGCTTCCGCTGTTCTTTGGTTTGAGTTGGACCCACTTGGTGCAGATGGGCCTTGTGGCATCTCTTAAGAAAACCACCCCTTCCACCCCAGCAGATGCAGGAACGTGCCTATCTGCTGCAGATAGGGCTTTTCGCGTTTTGATGAAAAGGCGCCCCTTCCACTCCAGCAGAAGATGGAAACGCGCCTATCTGCTGCAGATAGGGCTTCTACTATGTCTTGATGAACAACAAACGCCCACGCCAGCAGACGGAGAAAACGCGCCTATCTGCTGCAGATAGGGCTTTTGCTGCGCGTTGATTGGGACCACCCCTTCCAACGCAGCAGAAAGCGGAGCGCGCCTATCTGCTGCAGATAGGGCTTTTGGTGTCGCTTGCTCAAAGAGAAGCAAAGGTGCAGTAAAGAATCTTTTAAAAAGCACGCGGCTGCTCTACCACAAGAGGTCCTTTAGCCTAATGGATAAAGCGTGCCTTCCAGTCGCAGGTCCTGGGCTCGATTCTTCTAGGCCTGTCTGCTGCAGATAGGGCCTCTGCTGTGTCTTGATGAAAGACAACCTCCAGCAGGCGGAGAAACGCGCCTATCTGCTGCAGATAGGGCCTCTGCTGTATCTTGATGAAAGACAACCCCTTCCACTCCAGCAGGCGGAGAAGCGTGCCTACCTGCAGTAGATAAAGCCTCTAATGTGTTTTGATGAAAGACAACCCCTTCCATTCCATCAGGCGCAGGAGCGCGCCTATCTGCAGCACATAGGACTTTTGCTGTTTTTGGACTTGTAGCCGTGTGTGTGTGTGTGTGTGTTCTGTGTGTATGAGTCAAGAACCTTAAATTCAAAAAGTGGGTCGTTATTTTCAGGTGAGGTCGCTGAGGTCGGTATAATTCATGTAGATCTATACATCCTCCAATATACTGTATGATTATATGACTATATATCCATGCAGTATCATGCAATGCAGTATATAATATGTGTTTACAACGAACGGGCGCAAGGTCCTCGCTCCTCTTCCGAGCTGCAGCACCTCCTCCAAGGTCAAGCCCTGTGGCGGTGCCGTGGGGATCTCCCTTCGATCCGCCTCCACCAGGCCTTCGGGACACAAGCGGCCCTTGCCCACCTGCGTCGTCCGAGTCCGGAGAGCGAGCTCCACAGCATCCGATTCGGAAGGCTGAAGGCTGAGTGAACGGGATTACAGGCACCCGTCCTCTCATCCACAGACTACCTAGACCATTTGACCAACAAATACATACGATCAAACCAAGCCCGTGCGGATCCGCGCGGAGAACGGGAGTTCCCCGGAGTTAACCACACGCCTCCACAAGGGCTCCAACGATACGGCGGACCATCTTGTACAAGAAGCGTTCGCCGGTGGCCTGAGCGAGAACGACGGGGGGCATCGGGCGGCCGTGCATCGGGCCAAATGGCCGTGAAAAGAACCTCTCACATAATCATATATTAGTATATAGGCAAAAGATGGCAAAAGGAATAAACACGTTTTTGTTCTTCAGTGCTTGCATGTCTAGAAGATGGACATCTTGTGGGGGCTCTCACTTGATCTCCACATCGCCAAATGTGTTGATGTTGCGGAACGGATTTATCACATCTGCTTTCTGAGCTGAACTCGGGACTCCCAACTTCCTTCTCTCTTACACACTCGCTGCGGAGCGCCAGCGGGACTCGCGGAGCACAAAGCCAGTTCCAAGCCAGCTATCGGATGTGGGAATTGTAGACCTATATTATTATATATATATAATATCCCAGACACTCCATGGGACTGCCACAGGACTGCGGATCAGGCCAGGGGTGGTTGAAAGGGGATCAATGGGGGCGGCAGTCCTATGGTAGTCCCATTAGTCGTGTCTGGGTACATTAGCCATTTTTGCAAATGTGATTTGATGAATCTTGATGTGAACCACCCACAATTGATTTGAGGCTTGCCTACCCCTTCTCACCTTGGTCTGTTTCACCCATCCTTCAACTCCGGTTCGCATCCTCCGGTTTCGCACTCCACCCGGTTCGAACATGTTCGAACTATAGATCCGAGCTGGATGTCAATACCAATAGATGCGACCTTCTACAATTCCGATCGGAGAAGTCCTGACCTGGCCTGAATGTCTGCCGAACATCTCATTGCTTCCTGCTGTCCTGAAACTGAAAATATTCCAAGACTGCGCGGAATGCTTGCCCGGTGGCATAAAGAACCAGCCGGTCAGGAGCTTCCACCTCTAGAAAAGACACATTGGGCATCAATGTGGGTGAATTTGCCAGCTCAGCAATTTTTTGGGGAATAAGATGGAATAAAAATGGAATAAACCCAGTACACGGGATCAAGTTGATACACAGATTGAGTCCCCAAAGGGACCTCTACCAATCGGTGGCCAAAGCGAGGTTTTGGAGGTGGAAAAGATTGGGTTGTAAAAATGTATTGATATCGTATACTTATAGGCTAGGATATCTTAGGATACAACCCCTGTTGCCCCCGAGAAAATAAACTTACCCCACAATATCCCACAATCAACTATATGTGTAACTTATAGAATATGTGTGGCTTGCAGGGCAAAGAAAATAAGGGCAATATGCTGACCTGCCACCTGGCACTTGAGCACACACACAGGAACTTCCGTACATGCAATGCACGCGGGGTGGGAGCTTCCGGTATGTTCAGAACCAGGTCCGACCGGCTCACCGATCATCGCGCCACGCAGCACGGGTCGTACGGGTCGTACGGGTCGTCACCTTCAAGAGCAGCTGGACCGTCTTCACCACCTTGGATGCTCCCCTAAATGAGGTTCAACTTCAACTGTGCGTCAAAAATTGATCGAATCAAAATCAACAACAAACAAATCAGTCCAATTCAAAAGACTCATTGGTCCTATATATACAATATTATACAATATTATTGGAATGGTCAAAGCTTTAGCTAGTAAGGACTGCTTGCTCTGGGGAAGCCAATTTGGGATGGAATAGACCATCTGATTACTTTTCAAAAGTCTAGTCTAGTGTGCAAGTTATGCAAAAATCATCAAACATCCCAATATAGAAAGCACACTTTGAAGTACCTAATAGCAATGGCCTCCAACCTAAAAGCGATGGCCTCCAACAAAATGGCGATGGCCTCCAACCTAATAGCGATGGCCTATAGCCTAAAACCTAAGAGAAAAAAGGCATCCTTCAGTGCACGAATGGACGGGGGAACCCACCAAAGGACTTTCCAATTTGCCCCTCGATCTCGAACTTCGCCGCTGGTGAGCTAGTCACAAGCTCCCCTCAACAACAACTGAGCCAGTAGTGTCTTGAACCATGACAAGGAGCGAAACATAGCGAAACTCAAATGGATCCAGTTTTTAATAGTACACGTAGGGAACCACTGGTTCGCTAGACTGGATCCAGTCTTAGACCATCCGCAGCAGCCTCGTGCTCTTCGTTGATCGTCCTTCTCCCATCCGCATCCGCGGCACCGGCCCATGGTACTCTGGCTCATAGTCGCCCATGCTGAAGGCAGTCCAGTCCAGTGGACGTCCGTCCAAGGTCCGCAGCCCTTCTTGGAGCTTCGCCAAGTTCAAGGCGCCACAGGCCCAGCAGCGTCGGGCCTCGAAGGGGAAGAGCTCCAGGCTGGTGGAGAGACGATAGGAATAGGTCTTCCTGCACGCTGGTCTTCCATTTCAGAGGCACAGTGCTTCTCGCCACAAGGGGTTGGGTTTCCAGAGCCCGTGGGGGATCTAAATAGTATTAAAATGTATTATATAAACCATCCTTTGCCGAGAGTCTTGTGACATGCAGCATGGCTGAGTTGCGAAGAAAGATCAAGAAAAAAACCCAAAAGTCTCAGATATTTTGGAGGTCATGACAGGCAAATTGATTCATCTCCAAGCTCCAACTCCTGTTCACCTACTGGATAGCCATCCTGTCACCCATCCCAAACACCAAAACGTAACCAGCTGAGGTCCTTGGGAGCTGAGAGGTCTGGTTCCCAGAATTGGTGGAAGGGAACATCTGCAGGACAAGCAAGGTATTGGGGGGGTGAAAAACATGGGCTTTCTGTAGATGTTTGCTTCAACCAATTCTTCGACTGGTTGCTCTCTCTTTGGTCTCCATACATCCCTAAGCCCTCCATCTCCTGCATGAGCTCAAGCGGGCATGAAAGCCTCAAACAAACGACCGCGTCTCCGACCGCGTCTCGCGGCAGTTTTCATTGGACGAGACCGGCGCCAGTACCAGGATCGACCTCTTTGGAGTTTTTTAAGTGACCGAATGAAACCTGTTGCCGACTGGGTTGTACTCCCAAGGATGTGTCCCAGTAACTTGGCACAGTGCTGAAAATGTGGTATTTGCTGCTCCTTCTCCTGTCTCCACGAGTCAAGGCGAAACGTACAAATTCTCAAAGTCAATCAGCAAAGTTTGTAATCTGTTCATCCGTCAATGCAACTGGTCTTTGGCGATCTTCGGCTGAATGGTTTGAAGTCTTACGTGCTGCGAGTCGAGCCGGTCGAGCAGGATCCGGTCGAGCAGCGGCATGGGAATACCAGTGAACGTTACTTTCTTCAGCAAGAAAACGGTGAAAACGTGCCCCAGGGAGAACAATTGTCTCCAAAAAGCCAAATCATCAAAACCCATCAGAACAACATGAAAACATCTGCAGGACACAGAACAAATTCAGGCTCTACCCGACTCGACCCCCAGAGTTAAACGAGAACCCTTCGCTACACATTCGGGAAAAAAAACGATTTCCAAGCGGTTCACCCTGATCTGACTGCTGCGACGAAAGCAGATTCCGAAATGGATCCCGCCACCCTCAGCCACCCTGCTTTCGTCGCACCCGTCCAGTGCTTCACCACGTCACCTTCCGGCGCTCGGCCGATCCGTCGCGCGAGCAGTGCTGCAGGCAGGGTCAAACGGAGCCGCTTCAGCAGTACATCGTCGGAGGCATCGGAGTCCCAGTACCTTCATCGGATGGGGAAAAATGATTGAGAAGAATAGGTGCAAACAGGTCCAAAACGGAAGGACATGTTCACATCATTTTACATACGTACTGAAATACATTCTGAAGATTGAAGAAGTAGCTTTGGTGGTCTACTCAGGTGATCCACTCTCTCGCTTGCCAAACCCAGCGAACAATCAGACTCTGCAAACGCGCATTCCGAATGGAGTGGTTAGGACCAAACTGAACACGCCATCTGAGATTGTTCACGCGCCGCGGCTGGTAATGTTGCGTGATGCTTCGCGATGCTAGGCAGTTGCACAAAGCTCGCTTCAGTAGCTTGGCATGTACGGTGCTTGAACAGCAGTATTACTTTCGGAATTGCAATAAAGCCGCTGACACTCCCCTATGGATCAACTCCGATATGGATCTAGAGATGGCTTCAGCTGGTCGACACTCGCCCTCCACTTCTGCCAAGCGACTCTGGGGATTCAAAGTGGCACACCTGGCCTTGCACATCCGTTGGTCTTCTGCTTTCGGGGGAAAGGATTTCTTCGTTGCTTTGGTGGCGAGATTCTTCTTTGGAGATGAAACATGCTTGGAGCCGGCCAGTGGTAGAATGTTTTTAGACACCTTTACACTGGTGTGGCCGGATGGCACTAAACGTTGTTGTTTTTTCCACCATACCCATGATCTTGTGTTGAGCTACCTGCAGGTAGCTGGAAGCCTGCCACATGGAAGGACTGTGGACATCTTGGTGTCATATGGTTAGTTACTGACATCTGATTTGAGGACTCACCACATAACTAAGAAAACGTGCAAATTATATCAACTATCAAAATATATCAAAATAATAAATCCCTCTAGAATTGCATTGGACATTGCTTCTGCCAACGCTAGTATAATTACAGTGCAAAAACTCACTCCATCTGTTCCGACGATTTGTTGGTGAACTCCAACCCAGATTGGTGTGCTTCGAGAGTCATGTGACATGTGCTCCCCGTAATACAACGACACCGTGAAGCCCCCCCAAAACAAGAATGCTAGAAATACGGAAAAGAATGCTAAGCCTCATGAGTTACTTTTCGACAATCTTAGATTGGAGGCTGTTTGCTCTTAGGTTGTACAGCTAAACAAAGTTTCACTCAAATGTTGCGGATATTTGCGGATAGATGTTGTCTTACATGTTGTCTTATACATCTGATACTCATCGTTTTGCCAGTTTCCCAGCACATCACGGGGTGGTGCAGTTATTGGTCCACTCGTCTTCGTTTCAAAGGTAAGCAGACTTACTCACTCTTGATGCACAGGCAAACAAAAATCCCAACTCACGAGCCCGAAAAGATGAATCTGAATCACTTTCACCATGTCAGACTAGAATCTTACCCTCCTCCCATTCTGAGTTGGCATGTTGCCTTTTCTTGTAGAACATCATAGAACATCCAATGTCTGTGAGCACTTCATGTTGCAAACGAGATGTGTGTTGTCAAGCAAAATCCGGCGAGGCAACAAGCAAACTCAAGAAAATCATCCGGCCGGAATCCCCCGCACACAAATATACACACAAAAGCATCAAGGACGCTATTAGGTGGAGGCCATCGCTACTAGAAACAAGAAGCTACTAGTAGCTAGAAGCTACTAGGTGGAGGCCATGGCTATTAGGGTGGAGGCCATTCCTATTAGGCTCCTTTTGCTACTAGGCACAAGAAGCTACTGGTAGTTAGAAGCTTCCAAAAGGGACTCGTGTCACCGGTCGTAACAGCACGTCGCACCGTGACGCCGCATCGTCCGACCATCGTCCGGGAGGCCGTGGGCGTGGACCCCGGCATCGGTCCGCGAGGCACCCAGCGTCTTCACGGGGAAGCGGAAGATCAACGCCAGGGCCTTTTCAAGCTCTCCTTGCCTCAGAGGAGCGCTGGGCCGAGCGCTGAGCTAGGGCAGCGCATCGCTACGAACATCGGAACGATCGGACGCTATTCATTGCTATAGCTCCTGGCATTACTAGTAGCAAGAAGCTACGAGCAGTAGTAACAATCTCCTTGCCTCAGAGCTGGACAAAGGAGAGGAGAAAAAACGGAGGTGCTGGACGAGAGGAGTTATTGTTTGGAATGGACGCAAACTAACGGGTGAGGGTGAAAAAATAGGCGATAAGTTTATGAATGCTGTTTGTTGAAGAGGCCTCACTGAAGGGACGGAAATGGGACGTGAGACGTGTTTTTGTTAATGCCTTGGATCGGTTGATCAGCGAGAGTTTTTGAAGATCCTGAAGGAAGGGACGGTTTGGGGATGGAATGTCGTTTGAAGCCATGGGAAATAAGAATAAGTTTTATGAAGACGGGGTAAACGAGGGGACCCCTGATTTGGAGGCAAACTCATCTGCCATTTGCGGTTCAACAACACTGAACTCAGGTCAGAGGTCCCTTTTGACCATGCAAAGTCTGGGTCGACAGCCTCAACGGGACCGTATTTCACCAGGGTTGTTCTTGCCACCCTTTCTCTTTCCCCACCCTCCCAAGCACCATGAGCTCATCGTGGGTTGCTTCCAACGGCGGTCAACAGCGGTACCCCACATGTCCGAACTAAAAACTCCACCAAACCACCATTTAATATCCGCTAATCCTTAGAAAGGAGAAAAGACATACTAGGGATATCTAGGGATCTGCAAGAGCCCTTCTATGCCTGAACCACTCGAAACATCCACTCTCTGCGCAGGAGGAGCGGTTCCGGCGATTCGCCGTTCCACCAGTCCCACCCACGGTGGATGCGCCGACCCGTTCGGACCCTCGTTCGCATCCGCGGTGCGATCTACGTGGCCGGCTGTGGGTCATGGCATCTCTCCAACAGAGGAATCTCGAACCATGGTTTCGGTTGACATCCCCTATAGAGGAATCGGTTCTTCGGGAATCAACCGGGGTGGTCTCGGAGAAAGAGGACCGGGGTGCCGGGCACAGAAACACCTGCCACTCTTAAAAAGGTCTATACAGTGGTCCTCGCAAGCTCAGATGGTAGAGGACAAGTGCAAATGATGGCACCTCTACCCACAAGAAAGAATTGCATCATATGCAATAGGCTCACCTTAGGACTTGAAGAATCTACTCTCTGGTCACTCTGTTGATGGGTGATTTGTGCATCAAAGATTTGGACAGTCACCATGTAATGAAGAAACCGCAGGTTTGCAAGCTTCTACTTGGTTATGCCTCAAACTCACTTCTGCTGACGCCAGGTTGCAGCGTTCGCACGCCCTGGGAAGCTTTGGATGGCTGGAGAGACACACTTTTGGTTGCTTCAGCCCCTGGTCGAGTGATGAACCCGTTCATCAAAAATCCTGTTGGTTGGGGGGGGAGGCCAACATGGGCGACCTTCGTTAACCTGGGAATTCAAGCATTAATGTTTAGCTTGCGGACGGAAGCCCTAGTCGAACCATGGCAAGGCAACCGAGCGGGCCGACCCAATCATAGATTTCTCATATCCAGTCTTTCATGGATCACATGTTAAAAAGATCGATATCAACATATTGTTCAAGTCCAGAGGAAAACAGCTTCAAAGGTTTGGCCAAATGCTGGCGACCTTCAGAAAGCCCAGTGACACTCTTTCCAGGTGGTACCGGTGTAAACCCATGGGGCCCCGCCAGTAAGTAGAGCAACACCCATCAGGTACGTGGAGATGCGAAGAAAGAATAGAGAAGTTCCGCCCATCAGCACAACCGTCACAGTTGAAGACCCAAAGGATACCCAAATCAACCTGAACTAGCTTGAGATTGGTGTGTTTATATCAAATGTCTCACAAAAATTCAACAAGTACATCTCTTTAAGGTTGTTCTGTTTCCTGTTCTCTTGAAATGAGGTAACCTCCAACCAGCCTGGAATATAGGTTAAACCCAAACAATATGTATCCCAAAAACCACACACGTGGGCCGGGATAAACATGCAACAAATATCAAACAATTAAAGAACAAGACCGAAAGAGTTGTTGTTGTCCCTGTTGATCCCTACTTTTGAGTGTTTTCTCTGAAAAGTGATATATTATATGTATCCACATTGAAAAGTTATGTCCCAATTGTTTTCTTCGTTTCGGGGGCCAAAAACACACCTGCCGAGGTCCCGCGTTCGACCGACCGACAGCGCTTCGGCCTCCGCCTGCCGCTGCCATCCGGCGAAGTCGGTGCCATCGTAGGCGAGCACCAGAAACCATGTCTGGACAGGGCCAACGGTGTGCAACAGACCAAAGCCTTGTGCGGAAAACACAATAACTATACTATACCCAACCAAACATGGTCTTCGACATGTTTCGAACAGAGACTTCTTTTTGCATCCAGCACTCGTGTCGTGTCGACTTCGCTCGCCCCCGTCCTTCGTCTTTCGCTCGTCCTGGTCCTCTCGCTTCGCTGCGTCGCTGACGGTTGGCAGGTTGCTGGGCCGTAGCGCGTCGAGGCGCGCGGCGCCCAGCCAGCAGGCGACGCCGCAGCAGTTGGTGGTCAAGGCCACGGAGTCGGGGCCCCAGTTGAGGCATTTGGGCATGGCTCCGAGGTCAAGGCATGGTGGGCCACGGAGTCGGAGTGTGTTTCTGATTCTAAAGCTGAAGGATCAGAGCTGCTCTCCCCCGCCTGGATTTTCCCTGCTTGGCACCGTGGCGCACATATTTCCTCCCAGGTTTTCATCAAAATTCATTCAAATTCAAGGAATATTGTCCCTGATTTCACGAGGGGCGCCCTAGCTAGCTGCAAAGAAATTGAAGGGGGGTGAGTCAGCAGTTTGTGCCTGAATGAAAGAAGGTAGGGTATATATAAAGGTGAAAAGAACATGGTTGGATTCTGTATCAGCAGATTGTAGCACTCATAGCACCATTGGATGGTTCTGAGCGGGCTTTTAATGGATCTCTGGCGCAAACCAAGACAGGGTACCTTGGGGTGAAGTGGAAGCATGTCAACCGTATCGGTGACAAAGCAGCGAAGCTGGGATAAGTGGCGCGGTTAGAGGCGGGGGAGGTATATCATCATCTTCTTCGTACAAGCAAGGCAAGTAACATGCTGTTTGATCGAAACATATCTCCTATGGATCCACATAAGCCTATATAAATAGTCTCCAATTACCTTCTGAGAAGGTATGTGGATCCATAGGGATCTTCTAAGTTGTCAACCACCTGTTCGTTCGACAATCTACCATCTGACGAACGGCCATTTGCCGCCCAGCTACCTGAGGGGTTCTGTGCCCTCTACATCTGACGAATGGACAGCAAAACAACACACCAATTCAGCTGTTTTCGTTTCTCCACATACCACCCAATCAACTGCCCAGAACTGCGTGCTGAATTCACAGCCACCTGGATACCTGGGGCCCACCACTACAATCCGAACCAAACAGGGATCCACACGTAGCGCCACCTTGGAGCTCACGAGGTCCTCTTTCGTTGGAGCTCACGAAGTGTTTTCGCTCGCCGAATTCTTTGAGAATTCTGAATGGATAATGGAAGGGTCAGACGCTCAGAAAAAGTGGTTGATACAGAATTCAATTAGCTTTAGCATGCTTTAGCAGGATCCTCCCACATGCCGTGACTTTGGGCTTGTTAAAGGCGATTCTGTATTTGATATTGATTCAATAAATGCTAATTATGCTGCATTCAATCATTGATGTCTTCACTTTTGGAATTAAACACATGTGCAATTTCCACCAGGAGCTCCCAAAGCCTTCGAAAAGCCTGCGAGTGAGCGGTCTTTGAGAAGTGTTCCAACTTGGGTCACTAGACCTGAGTCTATGTTCTAAAGACTGAACACAGGATGATTCGCAATGATCCTCCAAGTTGCCACCCAGTTGACCGGCGATCAAATGTTGCTCAAAAACATGATGATACATGGATATGTGTGTATCGAAAGACCCCCCATCAAGCCCTCTGCTTCCAGAGTGAACTAGTCCAAAATCCATTGGCTGGGATGTCTCCCCGGCTGGGATGTCTGCACATGACTGATTCGCAGGATTGAGCAAATGAATGTTTTCTCCCCAGTCCTTCAGCAAGGTGGTTCCGCTCGCAAGAGCCCCCGGCTTAGCCGCAAAGCTCTTGAGGCCCGGCATTGCGCCGGGGGGCGGACCCCCGGAGCGACGTGCCGAGTTACACAAGTTACGTTCTGAAGCTCACATGAAGAGGCATGTGACGATCCTGCCGAAAAAGGTCAAAGTATCATTACTATACTTAAAAGATTCTTTCATATGGTAAGGCCAGAATCCAATGAAAGATTTTATTATAACTACTATACTTTTGGGGGTTCCAAGTGTTGACCCAATGGCAAATCACCTGTGGCGGGTGTTTCAGGGTTTGGAGGGTCCAACTATCTTCTCAGGAGGACATTTTCAGGATGTGTCCACTTGCAAATCAAACTGACCATTGAGTTTGGAACACTGAAAACGGATGAGCCGTCAAGGCTGACAGTGGGCCCTATGACCTACAATTCATGTTTTAATTGACGTCATGATCAATGTTCTCCAACAGGTGGAAGAACCTGCAGAAAGCCAGCTCAGCACTTTGGCATTTGTCAAAAGGAATGCCCTTTTTCTTCTCCTTGCATGCCATTTCTCTGAGAACTCAACGGCCAAAGGCACGCCAAAACATACATGTTTCATCAAGTTGTCAAACGATCACACTAAACATCAAAGTGCTAGTCGCACAGCCGAGACGGATCCCGTCTAGTGCGATCCTACCTACTTGGTTTATTTGGAGCAGCAAGGACGCTACTAGGGGCTCCTGGACTTACCACTAGGAGCAAAGAAGCTACTAGGGGCTCCTGCCCTTACTACTAGGAGCAAGGACGCTACCAAATGACCCTGGCATTCAGGGTGCTCTCAACAATGGTTTACATTTATTTGGTAGAATCTTAGAACCTGTTTGGTAAAAGCAACATTTGTTAGACACACCAGTCGGACACAGTGAGTGTTTCAAAGGCATGTCTATGGCTTGGAGCGTCCAAGGGTAGCCCATTGACACTCAAGCAGGAACCAGAAAGACCCCACAGTCTTGTTCATATACAACGTATACATCTTAAATTATGTTCAAGGTGCTTGAGGTTGTAGAACGTCCTCTCGGACTGTCGGACTGGCTTCAGCTTAAGGGCATGCATCAAAAGGGTCAATACATATTATGTAATAAATGTAGACTCTTGATTATATAAATAAACCTCCTCATATGACGAGGCTTTTCAATCCAAATGGATCAAGTCTCTACATTAAGTGGGATGCAACGTATTCCGCCAACTCCAAGCCTTCCCTTTTCCACTTCTTCCGCATGTCTGGCGCCGGCGCTTTGGACGCAGGAGAGCTGCAGACCTTTTACTCACGCGGAGAGTGGCAAACCAAAGGTAAACCTCAGAAAAGAGCCCGTCCAACGGTACCATTCGACCGGTATGCGTCAATTGATGAGGACGGAATCTTTGGGATGGACATGAGGAAAAACTTCCCCTTGGAATTCCCGTATTTCTGGGGTGAACCGAGTTCGCATTACTTTCGATCACGCGGCTCGAAAGTGAAGGGCTTCCAGAGTCATACCTTCACCGGCCTACACTGCCGGTAGAAGATAGGGCAAAGTCGTGTTAAACACTTGTCTTTAAGGGATGAACAACGAATATCAGGAAAGTGAAGGGAATCGCCGAAGTATCAAAGGCTGGGTTGCCGGACTGCTTCAACTTCGCAGTGAAGTTGGCCACACCAAACCTCATCGCACTCACTCTTGAACGGCAAAAAACATTCCTGTCCACGAAACAAGTCCAGCTCAAAAAGACCATTCGCCCACATGTGCCGTCGTAGCTACTCCATGGATTCACTGTATATAAAAGTATTCACCACAAATTCCAAACATGTTCCTTGCTTGCTCCGAGTATGACAGCCTTTCAACATGCGTCCAAAGCCTGGGGTTTCCACTCCCCTTTCTGATGCTGAACACTCGCAGAGTTCCGCGAACGCGGGCCGAAAACAACAAAAACAACACACTGACGACGTCAGCTACGTAGAATTTCATCTCATAGAGGTCATGAAATCGCCGGTCTGTTCACTCGTGATTTCACGAGGTCGACTCCACTCCGGTCGGCCCCGCGGGACGGGCGCCCCTCACGTCGGGCTCGAGGCAGGCGATCTGCGGGACGGGCTCGTGCTCGTGGGCGAGGGAGCCTGAAAAAAGAAGACCGTTTAGCAGGCAGAACAAATATGGTGAACGGGATGGGGGGATGGAGGATTCTTTAATGTAAGAGTTGATTTAAAATGATTGGTGTTTAGGACAAAGACATGCTGAAAGCAACGCCGCAGTTGCATAATATTGATTGTATTTGATTGTTATTGGTGTGTTCGAAAACAAGTGTTATGGGAATGCGGAATGCCGCAGTGATTAACTAGATTGGTTTTGGGGCTATGTCACCATAACATGATATCTGAAGTTGAAAGACCCCAGAGATCCACTTATATAACTAGAGCTCTTGATTGATCTACTGAAGTCTGACCACAGTTGCTGCTTCCTTGGCTCCCCTCTGATCTTAGGTCCTCTTCTCCCCAGTCCCCACGGCGGCTCCCGCCTGAACGTGCGGGTGCTCTTCCGCGTGCTCCGGGAGTCCCTGGTGGAACGTGCACGCGGCGGGTAGGTGGGAGGCAAAAGATGTGAGTTGCTGAAAGTAAGATGATGCCACGAACTTATAATTGGTTTCCTATACTTTGAGGCCTTAAATAGTTATATATGACATATGTTTCTTGTGGAGAGTTGCATGATTTCATGTGATATTATTGAGTGTCGTCAGCTGTTCTCCCAGTTTCTCTCAGGCCCCGTACGCATTCCAAAACACATTGGTTTCAGTCCATTTTGCTAAATTCAATTGCAAATAGTTGATGTTGAAATGTCCCCAAATGTGGGAGTTCCCCAAGTTCTTCACTGGAGCGCCTAATATACATGTATACTGACGACTCGCCCCTGACACCACCAGGGTCTGTTCTGCCAAATGGCTGGACTCGTCGGCAAAGGCAAATGGCTGGCTTCTGTTTCATCCAACCTCCAGAATTCAAAGAATTTCTATCCAATGGAGCGCTGTCACTCCACACTTGTGACATGTGCAGAATGGTCTCACCTCTTTTCAAAGCATAGAGAGGTAGGTTGGAGGCCATCGCTCTTAGGATCGAGGCCATCGCTGGTTGGAGGCCGTAGCTCCTAGAACTTGTCAATCTCAAGTAAGGCTCACGCATGCGGGGCCGGCGGAGCGGCGAAGACACCTGAAAGCTGCCAGGGCTGCGCCGCAAAACGAGCATTTACAAGCAAGCCTTCAAGGGCCCCAGGTTCAAAGGCTACAGGTCTATGAGCTGGTAAGAAAAAAATTTCAAGTGAACCAAAGTGTGCTTGAGTGGTACACCCACCTTCGACAGCTGTCTACCCAATGCGGGATGCAACCAAAGCGGCTGCACTGTCAGGCTTCTGAGTCCAATCCAACCTAGGAGTCATCAAGTGGCACAGAATCTGCAATGGGGGGCAGCGAAGCCAAAAACCATCCAAATCCTTCGAAAGGATACCCAAGTCCATCCAACCCACCGAAAAAATACAACTAAATAACGAACTATATATACCTAGAAGCACCTGGGGCAAAAATTTCCGCCTCAGTCCGGTCTGCCCGGAGGATTCGCGGATTTAGGGGAAATCCGCGCCAGGTAGGA